AGGTCCTAACTATTTCTCTCCAGTGGGACCCCCCATCCTGCTTTCAAGACTGTTCGTGTTCAACCCTTTCCTTTTTAATAATTCAAATGAACTCACTCCATTAGAAGAGCTCATGCCCCTTCTCAGTTGCAAGCAGTTACAAAAGAAAGCTCTCCACCCATTATCCCTGATTCTGAGGTCATTTTTTTAAATAGAAATTTTAATCTTAACAACAGAAAGTGGGGAATGAAAGGGACAGCCTTGCCCAAAGACAGGAAGGAAATGTAAATCTCTTTACGTTTGCCCGAAACTGCCTTTACAATTTGTTTTATCGCCCCAAGGAGTTCCTGAGAAGCTCCTGGACAGACAGCAGAGGGGCAAACTCCAGGCCTTAGTTTCCTGCCCAAAACCGTATCTCAGGGGCAAAATAGCATCCCTTGCAATAAGCCTGACTACATTTCAGAGATAACCAAGTCTCTAGGAGCAGAGAAAATGAGAAAGATGGACAACCTGACTTCTCCGCTTCCATTTCAGCTGACAATCACTATTTTTTTTTCTTTCTTTTTGTCCCCATAAAATCAGGCCACTTGGCCTAGGACTGGCACCCCCTCTCTTTCTGTGGGATGCCACTCTGTCTCCTTGCTTTCCCTTTCTTCCTTCTCTCACTTTCTCATTCTTTTTATCTAAAAGGATAAAATAAACATTTTTCTATTTGTATAACTTAATCTCTGCGTGAGAAACCTTTCTCCACCGCTGTGAGCACCTTCTAGGCTTTCCACCCAAACAGTGATCACTCAAATAAATACTACTTATCATTAACTAAAATTTGCACAGTTGTTAATCTAGTATTTGCGTGAAATAAAAATTCACTTCCAACTCCCCAAATTGTCTTTATTAAACTATAAAGTTCTGGAGGAAAACAATAAAGGCATTAACAGGACACGGTCTAAATTTTTGAAGAGAAAACTGCATAGATAACTAATTATGACCCACTATGGGAAGTGCTGTCACTGTGGGGCTAGGTAATGCCCACTATCAACAAAGCGACTGACTCAGCAGTTTCCATTTCCTCTTCTCACCCTCCCCGACTCTCAGAAGAACCCAGCTGTCGGAAACTGAATCACGAATGGGAAGGGGGTTCCCCAAAACATGAGTGAGGGAATGCAATTTGGGGTAACAATCGAGGGCTGGGAGGCAGAGAGGAAGGGGTGAGACAGAGGGATTGTCTGCAATGTGGAGTTTCTGATGAAACAAGTGACAGAGACTCCTTCATTTGGACTCGGTAGCAATATGATGATACGTGGATGCCAAAGCCCCAGTGAAACCTACCATTGCCCTTGACCTTGCTTTCACTGCTTCTCCTGCACAACCAGCATTAGCAATCGTAGGGATGGGTTGGAAACAGGGCTTGGGTGTCGTAAAAGAAATAATCCTGCAGACACCTAGGAAGGACAGAATTCCAAAGATTCGGTCTTTCTTTGCTTCTTTCTGATGTCCTCCAGTACCCAACAAGTCAACTCTAACCCTATTTGGGGGAATTCAAGGCCCTTCCTGGTTTGGCCCCAATTTAGCTTCATCATCCATACTGCCCGCATCGCTCTGCAGCTCCACTGACCTGCTCTGGCTCCCTCTGAGCCCAGAGTGTCACACCTGGGACTCTGTGTCAGTTGGACCTCCATCTCCCAGCCCTTTTGTATGTTCAAATCCTGTGTGATTTTCCAGACCCAACCAGAGTTCCAGCCCTTCCATGGAGCCTTCCCCGATCCTGCCATAGGAGATCATTTCTTCCCCTGGTGGTGTTCTGAGCTTTCCTTTCCTTCTCTCCTAAGAGTCCTAGCACTTTCTGCTAAGTGCTGTGATTAGCTGTGCACATACTCTACCTGCCCCTACTAACCTGGCTTCATCTAGAGGACAAAGGCCATTAAAAACCACTAAAGCGGCCAGGCGCAGTGGCTCACGCCTGTAATCCTAGCACTCTGGGAGGCTGAGGCGGGTGGATTGCTCGAGGTCAGGAGTTCAAAACCAGCCTGAGCAAGAGCGAGACCCCGTCTCTACTATAAATAGAAAGAAATTAATTGGCCAACTAATATATATAGAAAAAATTAGCCGGGCATGGTGGCACATGCCTGTAGTCCCAGCTACTTGGGAGGCTGAGGCAGAAGGATTGCTTGAGCCCAGGAGTTTGAAGTTGCTGTGAGCTAGGCTGACGCCATGGCACTCACTCTAGCCTGGGCAACAAAGCGAGACTTTGTCTCAAAAAACAAAAAACAACAACAAAAAAACCCCACTAAAGCTGTTCTTATTATAAAATGTGAGGTATGCTTATTATTTATGATATAAAAAACCATAAAACACAGAAAAGAAAAAACATATAGATCTGGCCAAGGAGGTAGATTTTCACACCACTGAAATTACACATTGAAAAGAATAAGGAGAAAAAATCTGCCTGGAGTATGACATTATTTATGTAAGTATTGCATAGGATTCTTAAAATTATTGAGAGAAATGGGAAATCAAGACTTCATTTTAGCAAAAGTCATTGGACAGAAAATTTAGTATATTGATCAAAAATTGCTTTCAGATTAACCAACTGACAACAGCCTACTTTTCAACCTGTGATGTTGTAAATGTTTTAAAGCAAAATTTGTTCATAATTTTGTGAACTGACCAGGAAGGTAATGAACTCTCACTAAATAAAATGAGAAAAATTCAGAAAAATGAAGAAAATAAGAAAATTAATCACTCATAGACATATCACACAAATATAACCACTATTAATTCTTTAGGGCATTTATTTCCAATGCTTTTTTTTTTCATGCCTAGGTTTGGTATGGGAAAAAAAATATATGTGTGTGTGTTCAATTCTTCATCTTGTATAATTTGTACTATTTTTTATCTTTCCTTTTGACCACTGATGTTATGAGTATATTTATGCCACTTCATTTTAAGGGCTTAATAATAAATAATCCAGTGGATATACTATAATTTACTTTATCATTTCCTGATAGAGAAAAATTCAGGTTTGCTTATTTGATATATTTTTTCTTATGTTTTTTACAGGGATGAGGTTTTTCTTTGTTGCCCAGGCTGGTCTTAAAGTCCTGGCCTCAAGCAATCCTCCCACCTCAGCTTCCCAAAGCACTGAGATTATAGGCATGAGCCACTGTGCTTGGCCTTCTTTTAAAATAAATTTTTACTTTCAATTATTATGGATACCTAACAGTTGTACATATTTATAGGGTACATGTGATATTTTGATACAGGCATAGAGTGTGTAATGATGAAATCAGGGCAATTGGGGTATCCATCAGCTCAAGCATTTATCATTTCTTTGTTTAGGAACATTGAAATTCCACTCTATTAGTTATCTTAAAATACACAATAAATTGTTAACTACAGTTGCCCTGTTGTGCTACTAGATCTTATTCCTTCTAACTATCTATATTTTTGTACCCTTTAACCAGCCCCTTTTTATCCCCTCCCTCCCCCTACCCTTTTGAGCCCCTAATAACCATCACTCTATTAACTCCTTCAATTCAATTTTTTCTTTGGCCCCCACATATGAGTGAAAACATGTCATATTTGTCTTTCTGTGCCTGACTTATCTCACTTAACATAACGCCCTCCAGTTCCATCCAATGTGGTTGCAAATGACAGGATTTAATTCTTTTTTATGGCTGAAAAATATTCCATTTTGTATATATGCCACATTTTCTTTACCCATTCGTTCACTGATGGAGACTTAGGTTGATTCCAAATCTAGGTTATTGTGAATAATGCTGCAATAAACATAGAAGAGCAGATCTCTTCAACATATTGATTTCATTTCTTTCGGATATATATCCAGCAGTGGGATTTGTGGATCATACGGTAGTTTTATTCGTAGTTTTTTGAGGAACCTCCATACTGTTCTCCATAGTGGCTGTACTGATTTACAGTCCCATCAATAGTGTGTGAGGGTTCCCCTTTCGTCACATCCTTGTCAGCATCCGTTATTGCCTGTCTTTTTGACAATAACCAATTTAACTGGGGTGAGATCATGTCTTATTGTAGTTTGAATTGCATTTCTCTGATGATTAGAGATGTTGGGCAGTTTTCTATACACCTGTTGGCCATTTTTGTGTCTTCTTTTGAGAAATGTCTATTCAGATTTTTTGCCCACTTTTAAATCAGATTATTGTTTTGCTATTGAGTCATTTGAGCTCCTTATATATTCTAATTATTAATTCCTTGTCAGATGGGGTACTTTGCAAATATTTTTCCCATTCTGTGAGTTGTGTCTTCTCTTTGTTGATTGTTTCCTTTGCTGTGCAGGAGCTTTTTATCTTTGTGTGATTCCATTTGTCCACTTTTGCTTTGGTTGCCTATGCTTTTGAGGTGTCACTCAAGAAATCTTTGCCCAGACCAATGTCCTGGAGTGTTTCCCCAATGTTTTCTTCTAGCAGTTTCAGTGTCAAGCCTCATATTTCAGTCTTTAATCTATTTTGATTTGACTTTTGTATATGGTGAGAGGGGGCTAGTTTCATTCTTCTGCATATGGATATCCAGTTTCCCCAGAACCATTTATTGAAGAAACTGTCCTTTCCCCAGTGAGCATTCTTGGCACCTTTGTCAAAAATGAGTTGACTGTAAATGCATGAATTTATTTCTGGGTTCTGTATTCTGTTTCACGGGTCTGTGTGTCTGTTTTTATGCTAGCCTTCTTTTGGTTACTATAACTTTGTCGTATAATTTGAAGTCAGGTAACGTGATTCCTCTAGCTTTGTTCTTTTTTGCTCAGGATGGCTTTGTCTATTCTATTTTGTGATTCCATATAAATTTTAGGATTTTTTTTAAAATTTTTGTGAAGAATGTTATTGATATTTTGATAGGGATTGCCTTGGATCTGTAGATGGCTTTGGGTAAGATGGACATTTTAATGATATTGATTCTTCCAATCCATGAACATGAAATATTTTTCCTTATTTTTTTGTGCCCTCTTCAATTTATTTCATTAATGTTTTATAGTTTTCATTGTGGAGATCTTTCGCTTCTTTGGTTAAGTTTATTCTTAGGTATTTTATTTTAGGTTTGATTAGAGTTATAAATAATACTGGGTCAGATATCTTTATGTTTGAAGATGTCTCCATATTTGGATTGTTTCCATAGAACTCTTTCCTAGAAATGCTTTTTCTAGGTTTTAGAGGCTGTGATTATTTTTAGGCTCCTGACATATTGACACCCACCTATGAAGAATCTTCATGACCCACAACTAGTGTTTCACCCAGGGCCCTAGTCACTCCGTGACTGTTTGATGAATAGACAAATGACTGAAACATGACCTCATACTTTGTTCCTCCAGCCAGGAATTCCTTAATTCAGTCCCTTGCATCTGGGCGTGGGGGGGGGGTGGCTTGTGCCACCTTCCACAGCATGAGCACGTCTACCCTGTCCATGAGATTAGAGCAGCTGAGGAAGCACAGAGTGTTAGCTCTGTGGGAAGGAATGGGGCTCGAGAGTCCATGCATAGATCAGTGCTTAGGAGAAGGGACCAGCTAAGAATAGCACTGTGTTGACACACACCCCTTTCCTCACACTCACAGGAGAAACCATTTCCCCACAAGAAGCCAGAAGAAGTCATGAGTTGAGAGCTGAGACTTATAGCTCAGAGATGCTATTCTTGGATATCCTGACCCCCTGTGGTCACCAGGGACCCTGAGTTGTGCAACACTCAGCTCGACCACACCACTATGCTTAAGAATTTCCCTCCTCACCCCCGGATTCCATTTCCCCATCCGCCAGAGCTGCCTATAAAGAGAAGGGGAGATGGCTTCAGACTCCAGAAGGACACAGGCAGCAGCGAGTGCCCAGTCCACTCTTGGCTTTGCTGACGCTCGAGCCCACATCCCATCATCTGCTCAGAATCATGAAGGTCTCCATGGCTGCTGCTGCCGTCCTCCTCTGCACCATGGCCCTCTTCAACCAGGTCTTCTCTGCACCATGTGAGTCTGGGCGGTTGTCACGGGTGTGCCCACTCTCTGGCCAGGACGAGACCACATCGGTCTTTTGTTGTGGCCTGAGAGCCCCCAAGAGAAAATAGAGAACTTCTCACAGGGCTACAAAACATCCTGGTCTTTCTCTTGAAGACTTTTATTTCATCTCTATTCATCTCTATAAGGGGTCTTAGCCCTCCTAGTCCCCAGGGTCTGAGAGTCAAGGCAGGGGTTCAGATCCTTTCCAGGCCTTTGCATGGATAGAACAACAAGGTTCTGAACAACCGAGTTAGCAGAGGCAGAGTCCAGGTCTGGTTGCTTCCTCGTGGTACCTTTCATTCACCTGCCCACCCTAGGTCTCCCAGGAGATCCGTCCCTTGGATGTCATATGGGAGGGGTCCAGGGATACTCTTTTGCTGGGTTATGGCTTCTTGAACAACATACAATTCCCTGAAGAGAGATTAGATAGAGTCTGCCTGGATATCTGGATCAGAGAGAGGGAGGGAGGGAGAGCCCACCATGAAGAGTCAAAGGAAAGAAGAATCAAGACAGAAATAAGACAGAGACAAGGACATTTCTGGGCAAAAATGCCCAGTTGTCTTCCAGTGACCTGTTTTCCCTTCTGCACCCTCTCAGGGATCAGAAGCTGGCTTGCCTTATTTTTCTGAACTGTGACTCAGGCTCACTCTGTCCCTTGCTCCACAGTTGGTGCTGACACCCCGACTGCCTGTTGCTTCTCCTACGCCTCCCGGCAGATTCAACGCAAATTCATAGTTGACTATTTTGAGACCAACAGCCAGTGCGCCAAGCCAGGTGTCATGTAAGTAGCAGTCTTCCTGCCCAATTCTGGGGTGCCAGGGAGGGTCTAGGCTGGGGGCCGGAACAGGCCAGAGGAGCCATCCTGGGGAGTCCCAGCCTTTTAAGCCAAGTGTACAGGACCCAGGTCTCGGAGGTGTGACCTGACTTGGGGGATGGGGAGAATGTTACAGAGTCGGAGAGGGCTGCCGCAGCCCAGAGGGAAGAGACAGGAAGGAGGCGGCAGCAGGATCCTCTGAGGGCCCCTCTCTTCAAACTGAGACAGGCAGAGGCCTCCTGAGGAAGTGGGCAGGTCCTGAGCTGCCCAGGACACAGAGTGGGATGGAGGGGTCACAGGGAGCCCAGCGTTTAATCCTTCTGCCCTTCTCCACAGCTTCATAACCAGGAGAGGCCGAAAGATCTGTGCCGACCCCAGTGAGGCCTGGGTCCAGGACTATGTCACGGACCTGGAGATGAATGTCCAAGCGACCTCGGTGGGCCCAGTGGGGAGCAGGGGCCCGAGCCTCGGAACCATCCCTGTGACTTCCACAGCTACCTCATGGTAGCTATGGGCTGGTTGTTGCCAAACAGCCACACTCTGGGACTCTTAACTTAAATTTTTATTTATTTATATTATTTAGTTTTTATAATTTATTTTTTATATCACACTGTGTTTGTGACTATTTGCTGTAAGGGATCCCGGGACACCTTCTTTGCCACCTGTCCTCTCCTTTGTGCACACTGTGGTTGGTGACAATTGAGTCACCAACTGTTTGCTGCCATCAGTCTGTCCTAGGCAGACACGGCACCAAAGCCACCAAACTGACAAATATGTATTGTATGCTTTTGTTCAGCACTGTGATTAATTAGCCCAGGGAAATAATAAAGATGCTCTTTTAAAAAATAAACCAGCATTGAGTTTGGTTTTGTTTTTCTGCAAATAAGAATCACTGGTTAGGAGGATAAACAGGCAAAGAACAGGAAGATGTGAAATGGAGGGAAATTGGGGGAGATGGGGTGGGGGTTACTACAGTCACTCCACACTGCAGCACAGTTCCAGAACATCAAAACTACGAATATTTTATAAGTCAAATCCTAATGTACATGCTCTAGGAAAATTCACTACTCAGATGGATACCACTAAGCACAGTATTCTGTAGTGCATATTTATGATAAATCGAGCTTTCTTAATACCAGTTGCTAACATTCTTGAGCATGCTAGGCTGAGTGCTTTTTAGGCATTGACCATTCAATCCTGCAATGCAATAGTCCAGCGTAGGTACTATCAGTATCCCCATTGGACAGAAAAGAACCCCAGGGCTCAGAAAGGTTAGGCAACTTGGCCAAGATCAACAGCAGGTTAAATGGCACAATTGAGTTTCAAAACTAGACTTTTATTTAACTATAGGCTATACTCTTAACTACTAACCAAATTATTTCCACAAACATGGTCCACTTATACTCAAATCATAAGCAACAACTGTTTAAGCCATTCACATCAGAATCTCTAGGTTTGGATCTGGGAATCGATATTTTTACCATGCTCATCAGGTGTGACACAGCATGTTAATGACTGAGAACCCCTGAATTAGTCAGTGGGATTCACCATTCTTTTCCAAATGTGGTATCTATATATGGTAACAGGCATATTGTACATTATTTCTCTAAAATCCATGCTCTGCAAAATAAATGGCTAATGTTAGAGAAGGAAAAGACAGCCAGCGTCGATGTGGAGCAGGATTCTGTTTGTATTAAAGTGGTTTGTTTTGTTTCGTTTTTTTGAGATGGAGTCTCACTCTGTCACCTGGGCTAGAGTGCCATGGCATCAGCCTAGCTCACAGCAACCTCAAACTCCTGGCTCAAGTGATTCTCCTGCCTCAGCCTCCCAAGTAGCTGGGACTAAAGACATGTGCCACCATGCCCAGCTAATTTTTTCTATATATTTTTAGTTGTCCAGCTAATTTCTTTCTATTTTTAGTAGAGATAGGGTCTCGCTCTTGCTCAGGCTGGTCTTGAACTCCTGGAGCTCAAACGATCTGCCCGCCTGGGCTTTCCAGAGTGCTAGGATTACAGGCATGAGCCACCATGCTCAGCCGTTTATATTATAGTTTTACTATGAAAGGTCAGTTATTTAATAGATGGATTGCTTAAGCTATAAGAAATGTACACTGAACTAGGGTGCTTTTTGCAGGAGAAAGAAATTCAAAAAGACTTGTGTGAAAACCAAACGTATCAATTTTTATGAACCATGATGATTCCATTATTTAAAATGACCTAATTTTTGTATTCAAAATTTTATAGAATTGTGATGATCAAAGTCTTTAAAGTGTAATTAAACACCACTGTCCAGCAAATATAAAAATGCACGAGCCATTTGATCTACATTCCACTGGACCTGATCCCATTTCTGGGAATCTATTTTATAGAAACACTGCCAAAGGATAGGAATATGTAGACACAAGGATATTCTTTGTAGCATGCTCAGTAAAAAAGCAAACAAATGGAAACAGTCATCAGTCAGAGATTAAATTAGTAGAAGATTGAGATATCCATCAATAGAATATTCTGTAGAAAGGATAACACACATCTATGTCTATGGAAAGTGTCCATAACGTTACATGCAAAAGGTATCTTTATTTACCTTTAGTACATGCATGTATGCTCTACATATATGCCACAGAACTATCTGTATAGAATATTATTTTTGTATTTAGGTAGCTATTTTATATATTTACATAGGCAGGTGTTTGGAAAGATACACAGCAAATAGCTAAAGTAGTTTCTTAGAGGGAATAGGATTTTATTTTTCTTAGGAATAGGCATTTTTCCCTTTTTATTTTCTGCACTTTAAAAAATTTGATTTATTTTTCAGTGAACTTACATTGCTTCCCTCTATGGTCTCATCTTACCTTTCCCTTTGGTGGGTTCCATCTGTTGGAACCACTTTCTGGTTGGGATTCTGAGTTGACACAGAGAGGACATAGCTCAGCCTGCCTTGCAGAGCAGAGCAACAAATAAGTCCTCTTGACACACACACACACGCGCGCACACGCACGCACACACACACGCACGCACGCACACACACACGCACGCACGCACCTTCTCCCATGCAACATTTTACAGTCCCCTTCCATTACAATGTCCCATTGCCCACACCATCAACACCCACACCGTGATAAGCATGAAGGCACTACCAGGAGAGGGGGAGGAGCAGCCTTTGTCCCCAAAGCAGCAGTGAAGGTGTCATCATTTCTAATTTATTGGCTTTCAGAAAAAAAAATCTCATGACATACAAAATTTGCCTGTAAGGCACTGACCTGTTCCTCAAAGTCCAGAAACCCAAAGCTAAGTAAGAAGTTGAACCACACCCAACATTCCCTAACTGCAAGTGTGACCAACAGAGTAAACGGAACAAAGACCCCTGTTAGGGAACAGGGAGAATGGGGATTGCATCGTTGACCAGTTCTTCGAGCCTTTCAGGCTCCGAGACTTGACTGAGACCCTGCTCAGCCTCTCTGGCAGTTGCTTGCTCTCCTCCCTGGGGGAACGTCTTCCCTGGACACATCTGAGATGTGCTTTGTGGGCTGCTGTCTTCCTGTCTGTGTCAATTAGCCTGGGGCTGCTTTAGGTATTGAGCAATTGATGGCTGTTTGGGGCCAGTCTTGTGGTTTCTTTGGCAAGGTAACTCCCCTCTAATGCCTGTAGGCTTCTTTCTGTTTGCTGCTGATCTATTCCCTGGGCTAGGTAACCAGAGGCAGAGAGGTTGTCCAGTCAGATATTTTGCATTTTTACTGGGGTTGGGAATGCATACATCCTAACATAGGCCTTGAGCTGTAGTCACCCCTACCTCCCAGACCCTGCCGGAGGCCCCTGCCTCCATCTTGGCCCCTGTGGAGGTGCAGGGCCACCTGTGGAGGTGATGAATGTTAGACCTTTGGCCCAAAGACACATCCTCCCTGCACCTTCACAAAGTGCCCATTGTCTATTTTAAGTAAGGAAGATAAAATTTCATAGAGTGAAAGGGTGAGGAAGTGGGGGCAATAGTTGGACCCCAGGTTAATCTCCAGTTAGGTCTCTCACCTCCCCCTTCTCCGCTCATGCTAACTTTATCTTAGAGTAATAAATCCTGCATTTATGGCCCTTTGAGACTCCAGGATACTGAGTTCTCCCAACAGCAGGCTGGAAAGGCCTTTTTCAGCAAAGCCGAATTTTTTCCTTTTCTGATTTCAGGTGAGCCCATTTCAAAGTAGCCTAAACTGTTTCTCAAAAGGATCTTACTAAGAAGTAACTACTAAACTCCAATATTCCGAATCTTTCCCATCAAATTCCTTATTGCTGTAGTCTTAGTATTTGGCACGGGGCCTGAACACCATAACACGACAGACCACAGTTGACCAGCAGCTACAACATCTTGTAATGGTGGCTCTCCAACAGTCAGGGCCCACGCCACATTGTGAACATCTCTTAGGAACATGCTAGAAATGCAACTTTCTAAGCTCCTCTCCCCCCTTTAGGCAGGGGGGCTCAGAAATCTGTACCGAACCTCTGAATAACTCTGATGCACACCCAAGTTTAAAAACCACTTCCCTGTAACAAGGGCCTCAACAAATGACCTTCTACTTTTTCAGTTCAGCCAATTCCGCAGGTCAGTCTAAGGCTGTGACAGACCCTGCACCTCGGGACAGATACAGATGTCCCCACGTCTCAGGATGCTGGCAGTTTTGAGGAGGAAAACAAACACACAAACCTAACGCAAACAGGCTTGAATAAATAAATGCACCAGGTGGCTCCAAACTGCAGGGTGCCTCGGGGGCTCTGGCTCCAGGCAAGGCTGGATGCAGCCCCGTGTGTACCCCCCTGGACCCTGTTTGCTTCTCTTTCTGACCTTCTTTCCATCTGAGAGGCCCAGGGTGGCTGCTGGCACCTGCTAGTGTTACCTGGATCCTTATTCATTTCCTACAGAGAAGAGTGAGTCTGTGTCCCCAATTGGGGGATGGGGGAGAGGACGGAAATCACTAGGTTCTTTTGGATTTGACGGACTCAGGAACCCAATTCTTAAGCAATCGCTGTGGTTGTAAGAATGAGTTTCATTGATTTGCACAAGTTAAATCAAGGCCCACCTTTGGACCTGAGGGTTGGATAAATTGTACATAAACTTAAAGGTCTGAGAACTGTGGGGAAGGGTGGCTTTCCAAAGGAAATGTGGGCTTCTGATATCAGGAAGGATGTGGAATAGATGCTAGACAGGAAAAACGTCTTCACTATAATGTGTTTGTCTTTTTCCTGTTGAATGTTTTCATGTTGCATAAAAGGCACTAGTAGTTTGCACGTGATGAACGTTTCTTGTCGTTTGCTGTCTAGATTAGAAACTGTTAGTTTTCCACCTTCCTGAATTACTTAATTTTTTAAGAAAAGCTGATAACTTTTGTATTTCCTGCTGCCCTGTAAATGACTATTGCTCAAATCTGAGGCTAACAAGACATTAAGCTCTTCATGATGTCAAAGTAACCACCAGAAAATGGGGCTACACAGCACTCTAGGACATGCTAAGAGGGTAGAACTGGCTTTGCCACAAGCCGCCCACCCTCTTTCATATAAGCCAAAGCCCAGGGGCTGGAGGAGGTGGAGGATGCTAGGACTGCTAGAACAATCAGTCATCAGTAGGGATTGCCCATATTAGGAAAAAAGGAGAGTCCTTTAATATTGGATAGACAAAAGGGTGGACAAGAGGGGGATACCTCATACTTGCAACTTGTATTTCCTTTCTTTCCTGGAAACAGAACCCACAAAAAGTTTTTTTGACAACAACCCCAGAACTGGATGGGTCCTGATTAAAATGAACCCATTTGCATCCTGGGTTTTTTATTTTTTTGAGACAGAGTCTCACTGTGTTGCCCAGGCTAGAGTGCTGTGGTGTCAGCCTAGCTCACAGCAACCTCAAACTCCTGGGCTCAAGCAATCCTGCTGCCTCAGCCTCCCGAGTAGCTGGGACTACAGGCACATGCTACCATGCCCAGCTAATTGTTTCTATATATTTTTAGTTGGCCAATTAATTTCTTTCTATTTTTAGCAGAGACGGGGGGTCGCGCTCTTGCTCAGGCTGGTTTTGAACTCTTGACCTTGAGTGATCCTCCTGCCTTGGCCTCCCACCTAGGATTACAGGTGTGAGCCACCATGCCTGGCCTTGCGTTTTTTAAACTTATTATAACATAAGCATTTGTCATGTCACTGCGTTTTTTGTGAGCACTCCCTGATGACCAATCAAGTGAAGATACCATAATTTATTAGCCATTTCCATATAATGGGTCACTTAAATTTTCAACTGCTGTAAATAGGCTGGGGACCAAATGCCCTTACGCATAGACCTTTTTTCTATCTTTGAATTAATTTATATAGGGAATAGATTCCTAGACATGGACTTTCTTGGTCAAAGGCTAAGCACATTTTAAGGTTCCTTATGCATATCCTCACCCATATCAAACACATCTTTATGTCCCTTGCTTGGTGCACATTGGAGGATTGAATGAGCGGGCATCTGAAAGTCTGGCTGGACTCTCTCAGCCCTTAGCCCAGGCTTCACCAGCTCTGCCCACGTGGGTGTATTTTAAGTTGGGCCGTGCTGCTCAGGATTCCTGGCATCATTGCATAGGTCACGTCTATGCTGTTAGAACAGCGGTGGAATGACACAGAAGTTTCTGCTCTGCCAGGGGAAACTATGACTACAGAGTTTAAGTGAGAAGGAACCAGTTAAGTGTGGTCCTGGGGTCACACCAAGATCTCACCTCCTCTCGCTGTAGAAACCACTTCCCTATAAACAGCCTCAAGTGAGCACTTAAAACTATTCTTGCAAATACCATAAGCCCTGTGGTTACCCAAGACCCCCTTGAATATGCAAGTCAACAAGACACCATCATGCTTAAAAACTTCCTCTCTCATCACCCCCCCCCCGTTTCCATGTCCCTGGGGCCCAGGGCTTACCTGTTCAGAGGAGGAGACACAGAACGGACCCCAGGAGGAAGCTGGCGACAGTGAGCACCCAAGGCCTGTCTCTTCTGCCCACACCCCTGGGCCCTCGCTGACCTTGCTCACGATGGCCCCATGTTCCTGGGCCTTCTCCCATGAGTCTGTCCCTCCTGCTTCTTGCTGTTGGTTCCCCCAAGCTCAGACTGAGGTCAGACCCCATCACCAAAGTCTTACGGACAGAGGTAGCCAAGTGAAACAGAGAACTCCCCAAGGGATTTTCAAAACGCCTGTTCAGGGAGCTTTTCTTTCCAAAAGAGTTTTAGCCTTCTCTCCTCTACAGCTCTCAAATTCTATCTAGAAGGCAGGGTGGGATCTTGTCCTATTTGGGGAATGAAGAAATTGAGTAGGTCTTCAACAAGGGACAGAATCCGGCTACCATTGCTTCTCCATGGTCCACTGAGTAATAAAATCATCTCAGCTCCACCTCATAGATGACTTACAGAGATGAGCTCTAGCTGGAAAAATTTCTTCTTAGACCATATTAAGTTCTTCCAACAGAGAGAGAACCAAAGGTAGATTGTCCAGTTAGGCACATTCCCTGGGACGTAGAGGCCAAACCTAAGAAAAAGAAAGAGAGGGGAAAGAATGAAACAAAAACTCTCCACCTTTCTTCCAGTTCTCATCCCAAATCCTCACCCCTGAACAGTATTGTCTCCGTCTACTTTCTTCTGACTTCAGCCCTGGGCAGAAGGAGCTGCTCACTTGTGTCCGTGAAAAATGACTTGGGCTCACGTTGCCCCTTCCCTGAGAGTGGCCCAGGCCCTCAAGCATCTGCAGCTTTTTCTGTGACCCCCCAGCAGACCCCTGGCTAAATGGTGGATGACTATGATGAGACCAACAGCCTGTGCCAGGTTTGGGAGAGAGGCTGGATGTGTAGGGGACAGTGCCAGTGGGACCAGCTGATGGATGAGGGCCACCCTGGGGAGCCCAGACCTCTGAGGTCCTAGCTAGAGGCAGGACACAGGGAAAGGCCACAGAGGTATTTCCTGGCCAGGGGCCTGCAGGGAGCCAGGAAGGAGCTGCCCCAGGTGGAGCGAAGGAAGGAGGAAGTGATCATAGGCAGAGGCTGCCTGAGGGGACCTCCCAAGTCACTGAGGAGAGATCTAGGGACCAGAGGTTGGGGAAGTAGTGCTGAGACTGTGGACAGGCTCTAAGCTTGCCAAGGCAGAAACAGGGAGATGGCGTGGGCCCAGGAATTCCTCTGCTGACTCCTCAATTTTGATGACTCTGTCCCTTTTCGCAGTGCCCAAATGAAGAGTCTGGCAGGTCTGTGCCAACCCCACTGGGTTCTGGTGCCAAGTGCATCCCTGACTTTGTTGCTGAATCCCTGAGTGTCTTGGAAGCAACAAGAAACCAGTTACCTCCGTGGAGACATTAGGTCGCAGGGACCTGAGGCCCAGAGACTTCCTTCAACTCCCAAACCTACCTCTGCTATGGGCTGGTTGCCAAGCAACCACACTTTGGGACTCTTCTTAACATAAATTCTACTCTAGTTCAACTATTTAATTTTTGTGATGTATTTCCATGTGTTCTTGACTGCTTTCTGGGAGAGATCCCACAGCCCTCTCTACACCCCTTCCTCAGCCCCTCCAATCACACAGTGCTCGACACAAACTCGGCCTGTAGGTCAGGTTTAGCTTTTTGTAGAGGAAGTTGTTCCAAAACCATCGACCAACAAATATTTTTAGAGCATTATTTACCATTTCTGTGTTCAGCTGTGTGAAATAATGAACTTGTTCTCAGGAAATCAGTCTTAAAGTTTTGGTGACTCTATTGGCTTTGTTTTGTGACAAAGTGGCAGAGTGGGAAGAGCAGGAAAATCTGAAAAGGGGAAATGTAAGTTTGCTTTTCTCATAAGTCAAGCTTTCTTAAAAATCATTCGTTGTCCTTTAAATTCTGACAATTTCACCAAGGGCTAAGTACTATTAATGCCCCCATTTGATAGAAGAGGAAATGTTGGCTCAGAGAGTTAAACCAAGTTGTCCATGGTCACACAGCTAATAAACACTAGGCAGTGTTGCTCAAACATCCCAGAATCACCTGGGATGGTTGTTTAAAGCGCTCACAATAGAATTTCTTGCATTTGGATCTAGAAATCCAGATTTTTACCAAACCCCCAAGTGATTTACATGCAGACTAAATGCCAAAAATTACTGAATCAGGCAATAAGAATTTAACCACTTTTCAATAAGGTGCATATAGTAATATACACCTTATCTGGGTATTATTTCCCTAGAATCCATGCTCTGCAAAATCGGTGGCTAACATTAGAGAAAGAAAAGATGGTCAGCCAATACATGCAGTGAGACTTCTGTTGTGAACGTCGAATTATTTATTACCTAGTTTGAGGTTAGCAAACCACGGTCCTCAGAGCAAATCTAGCACATGCTGCCTGTTTTTGTAGGCAGTTTTGTTGAAACACAGCCACACCCACTCTTTTGCATATTGTCAAAGGCTGCTTTCCCTTTACAACGGTGGAGTCACCTTGTTACAACAGAGACTGTAAGGTCAAAGAAGACAAAAATATTCGCTATGTGGCCGTTTATAGAAAAAGTTTGCTGACCCCTAGTCTCCATTATGTTTTCAAGCATAAGAAGCTTAGACTGAGCCCAGGGTCCCTTCTATCAAATGCAAGAGGTTGAAATTCTACCTACTTGTGAGAAATGCAAAATGTATTAACTTTCTGATAAGCAAAACAATCCATTTTTTAGTATCAAGAAGTGAAATTTTGGTAGTTAGGGTTCTTGAAGGGCAATGACACAGTTTCTAGAAAGTTAAAAAATTTACATGCTCTTCAATTTATCTTATTTCTAGGAATTTATTTCAAGAAACACTATCTTAAGACACAAGGTATAGGCACATGGATGTTCTTTGCAGCTGTCTTTGTGAAATCAACCAAATAGAAGTAAATTCCTTGAAAAATAGATAGTTTAAAACATACCGGTATAGGCCAGGCGCGATGGCTCACGCCTGTAATCCTAGCACTCTGGGAGGCCAAGGCGGGCGGATTGCTCGAGGTCAAGAGTTCGAAACCAGCCTGAGCAAGAGTGAGACCGTCTCTACTATAAATAGAAAGAAATTAATTGGCCAACTAATATATATACATATATATAAAAATTAGCTGGCCATGGTGGTGCATGCCTGTAGTCCCAGCTACTTGGGAGGCTGAGGCAGCAGGATTGCCTGAGCCCAGGAGTTTGAGGTTGCTGTGAGCTAGGCTAATACCATGGCACTCTCTCTAGCCTGGGCAACAAAGTGAGACACTGTCTCAAAAAAGAAAAGAAAAGAAAAAAAACCACATCCTGGTATAGCCACATCAACAAGAAATCACTGAAAAGAATGAAGTATATATACATACTAAAATGAAAGGTATCTATGATATCAACATAAAACTAAATATATATTCATTCCATATGTATTGCTCTATACAAATATCTATTTTACCACGTATTATAGAACTACATATAATATTTTGCTTTGGTAAAAGCTGTATATATTTACATAGACATAAGAACAACATTTGATGTGCTATATCTTAACCTGTTAAATGTGATTTCCTCTGGCAAATATGATTTTTAAGAAGTAGAAATCTGCACTTTTCATTTTCCACTTTTGTCCGTTGGTTTTCATAGATGTAAGTATGTGATTTTTCTTGTCATTTTTAATTCAAAAGATATTTTAAAAGTTGGGGCTTTCTCTAAAAACTGGGTCCTTCTTGGTTCTCCTTGTTTTCACCTCATCCTCCCACAACTGACTCCTAACTGAGATGCGTGGTATTCCAGATATTTGGACCACTTGCTCTGGATCCCCCATTGAGGGCACGAGCCTTTTCGCCTTTTGGATTTCAGTCTGGCTCAGAGAATGTCAGGAATGTTTACTGACGTCATGTTACCCTCTGTATCAAGGGATCAGGGCAACAAACACATCCAGTGTAGCTCCAAGGGGTAGACTTTTGACTCAGGATTCTCCCTCTTTCACCACACCCACCCACACACAAGTGCACACAGGGCTTCCCACAAGCTACATTTTATAATCCCTTTCCATTTTGAGATATTTCCCCTCCCGTCCAGCGCCATAGCACACCTGCCAGGACAAGTGTGGAGCACTGTCAGGAGTCAGACCGCAGCAACTCTGCCTTGATGAAGCCAAAGAGTCTCATCCTTTTTTCTAAGGGGTCCTCAACATCCAATGACTTATGCCATTGCATCATGAATTTCCAAATGTTTCCAATAGCTCTAGGGTTCAGTTCACATCTTTTTTTTTTTTTTTTGAGACAGAGTCTCACTCTGTTGCCCGGGCTAGGTGCTGTGGCATCAGCCTAGCTCACAGCAACTCAAACTCCTGGGTCAAGCCGATCCTTCTGCCTCAGCCTCCTGAGTAGCTGGGACTACAGGCATGGGCCACCATGCCCGGCTAATTTTTTATATATATATTTTTAGTTGGCCAATTAATTTCTTTCTATTTTTAGTAGAGACAGGGTCTCGCTCTTGCTCAGGCTGGTTTCAAACTCCTGACCTCGAGCGATCCTCCTGCCTCGGCCTCCCAGAGTGCTAGGATTACAGGCGTGAGCCACCACACCCGGCCCAGTTCACATCTTAACAGTATGGATGTTGCATGGATCCTTCATGTGTAAGATGAATACTAAACTGGCAGCCTATAAATTAGGGGGAAAGGAAAAGCAAAAGATTCTAGTAGACTGCTAGTTCACGTTAGATGGGGCTCTTTCATTGGTTAACCTCTTTAAGAGTAAGTTAGCAGAGAAGTTAGTGCTCCCTAAATGGTCCATGTATTCCCCTTCATTGCAGTTGCATTGGGATCATGCGGCTAATTCTGACCAATAAAATGTAAGATTAAGTGAAGTGTGTCACTTCTGTACCATGACAGTTAAGAGCAATATGCCTTTCCTGTCTTCTTTCTCATTCCAGAATCTATAGTTACAAGATGGAAGCAGCCTGAATTCCTGAGTCACTACTTGGAGGAGCCCTGCTCTGGGGCTAGTACCACTCAAAGTGTGGTTCATGAGCCAGCAACATCATTACCAGAGAATTCGTTAGAAAAGCAAAACCTTGAACTATACCCTAGCCCTGTAGAATCAGAATCTATTAGGTGGGGCCCAGGAATCTGTGCTCACACAAGCCCACCAGGGGATTCTGATGTAACTAAATTTTGCAAATCAATAACTTAACACACATGAGAATTTGTGTGAATGGAAAACATTTATTTTGTTAATCCACGAGGGGCTTGTTTTACCTAGGTATAACTTATCCTGTCTTAACTATCATAGACTATAAGCATGAAATGCTTTTCTCTCATCATTGGCTCCACCTTAATATCTTGAGCAGATCCCATCACTTTCTGGTCACTTCCAGTCATAAGAATTCTTTCAGTTCAAAACTCCAATCTCAGGCCTCAGTTGTGTTGGCTCATGCCTGTAATCCTAGCACTCTGGGAAGCCAAAGGGGAGGACCACTTGAGCTCAGGAGTTCAAGACCAGCCTGAGCAAGTGTGAGACCCCGTCTCTATAAAAAATACAGAAATTATCCAGGTGTTATGTGCCT